AAAGAGCATGTTCGCGACCTCTCGGGGTATTGGCTGTGCCGGCCGGCGGGGGAGGGGAGGGCCGAACGGGAGGGGACCCGAGCAGCGGGGGAGGGGAGCCTGCAGCCGGGGGTCCTGGCACCTCCAGCCGAAACAGGGAAGGAGCAAGGGGCCGAGGGAAGGGGAGTGGAGGCTGCGAGGGGAGCGGAGAGAGGGAGGGAAAAAACTGCCTAAAAGAAGAGAAAGGAGACACGAGGCTACTGGGGTGTAACTTTGTTTGTTTGTTTGTTCCTTTATGGTGGGCTTGGTGCTGCTCAAGGGGTAGTGGGGTGAAGCCTTGAATCAAGCTGCTGGGTTTGCTCTCCCCGCAACCATCACACTAGGAAAACTTTGGAAAACTTTGTCCAGCAAGAACCTCTCTTTTGTAAGCCCCCTCCCCTACTCGGAAAAAAAGGGAAGGGGGACAGAGAGCTAGCGGAGAGAAAGTGCGATCGGTTTGTCAAAAGTATTCCCCCAAAGCTCCTCGGTGGAAAAAAAAAAACGGAAAAAATTCCTGAATCCAACGAACCCAGAAACTTTGGGGGCGAGGGAGAAGGCAGTCCGTCCCGGGACGTAGTCTCTCTGCTCTGGAGTTGCTGCTGGGGGAAGAAAGGGGGAAAAAGAAAGAAAGGCAAAAGGAATGAAAGAGGGGGAAGGCAGGAGGCAGGATTTCAGGGATGGTGGTTTTAAAAGCTTCTCTCAATTGGAATTGGAGGCCAAAGCGAGGCGATGCGTGTGTTTATATAGAGGCGGGAGGCTCCGCCGTGGGCTTTCCGCCAGCAGCCCCCTCCCCGCGCGCACAAAGCCGGAGGCGTGGTGATCCTTCTCGCCTGCGTCTCGCTGAGCCCAGCACCTACAGACGGACGAGATGAGACACACGCGCGCGCGCGCGTACACACACACACACACACACACACACACACACACACACACGGTGCGCACTAGCTTGGTGCCCGTTTGGCTACGAGGCTACTTCCCTCCCTCTTTTCTCCCTCGCGGGACCCTGCTCCCCTCCTCCCGCTCCCGGCAGTTCTCCGTGGGCCATAGCGCTCGCAGCAGAGGTCCTGGCCCGACCTCCCCCTCCACTGGAGACCGCCCAAAGCCCCTGAACCTGCGCCTAGTATCGTGGGACCTCTCCTTTGCCAGTCCCAATTCCCCCTAGCCCGGGCCCCCACCCCCACCCCTACATCCCCAAGCCTTGGTTGCCAAGGCTCCCCAGCCTCCGTAGGTCTCTTACCCTACAGGACCCCAAGGTTCCCCTCTCCCTGTCCCGAGCCGCTGACGCCGCAGACCTTCCTATCCGACACCTCGAGGATAGCCTCTTCCCCCCATGCACACATTCTCTAGTCCCTGCCGGCCGCCGATAGCTTCGGAGGAACCCAGATGCTGGTTCCAGCGAAAGTCCCGCGCCAGAGACAAATGCGGCGGCCCGGGCACCCGGAGCGGGAGGAGTCGGGTACAAACGTTCATTGATACAAATGAGTAAATAAACACGCCGGGTGAGCGCGGCCACCTTCTCTGCGCCTGCCGCGGAGAGCCCGGCGCGCGTGCCTGTGCGAGGTGTGCGTGTGGCCCGGGGCCGCACCTGTGTGTGCGCGCCCACATGTCCCTGCGTCGGCCCGACGTCTGTGGGGGCGAGGTGGTGTGTCTGTGGGTTTGTGCGTTCTCTCTGGAGCTGCATGTGTGTCCGTGCATACATGCATCTGTCTGTCATCTGGCCTGTCCTCCTGAGAGCCTGCGTTAACGCCGAGCTCCGCATACCAAACCCGACATCTGTCTGGCTGGCGTCTGGCTCTCCTGCTCACTTGCGTCCGGTCTCCCCGTTTCCTTTGGCTCTGTTCACTCTCGCACTCTCAAAGCAAAAGACTTGGTATCCCACCTTTAGATTGGGGTGGAGGGTGTGTAAACGGAACTAGGCTTTCCTTTTAACGCCTCGCCTGCACTCAGTACGAGTTCTGCCTTAGAGCCCTTAGAAGAGCGTGTGAGAG